TTCGGTTATAAAAGTCTTACCTCGCGTGACTGCGGCCTTTCAGTTGTTTCAGCGGCGGGAGTCCGGGAGGAAGCGCGAGGGCAGCCTGGGAAGGTGAGCTTTTCGGTTATAAAAGTCTTACCTCGCGTGACTCAATTTTTGGAGTAAGTGAGGTAATATATTTGGGCGGTTGCTTTACCCGAAACACTACCTAGGTAGTGTCTCCCACCCATCCTCCTCCTCTAACCAAAAAAAAAGGTTCTGAGCGCTGATTTGGTAAGGCTACTAGTTTTTTTTTAATTTGTCTGTTTGGGAATTCAGAACAGTGGGAATGGATGTTAGGGCAGTTATATGCTCCTCCTGTAGAATGTGGGAGGTAAGGGTCACCACTAGTGTCCCCGCTGACTTCATCTGCGGGAAGTGCACCCAACTCCAGCTCCTCGGAAACCGTGTTAGGGAACTGGAGCTGGAGCTGGATGAACTTCGGATCATTCGGGAGGCTGAGGGGGTAATTGAGAGGAGTTACGGGGAGGTAGTTACACCTCAGGTACAGGAAAAAAGTAGATGGGTTACAGTCAGGGGACGGAAAGGGAACGGGCAGACAGTGCAGGGATCCCCTGTGGCCATTCCCCTCAAAAACAAGTATACCGTTTTGGATACTGTTGGGGGGGACGACTTACCAGGGGTAAGCCATGGGGTACAGGTCTCTGGCACAGACTCTGTCCCTGTTGCTCTGAAGGGAAGGGGGGAGAGGAGGAGAGCATTAGTCATTGGGGACTCCATAGTTAGGGGGACAGATAGGAGATTCTGTGGGAACGAGAGAGACTCGCGGTTGGTGTGTTGCCTCCCAGGTGCCAGGGTCCGTGATGTCTCGGATCGTGTTTTCGGGATCCTTAAGGGGGAGGGGAGCAGCCCCAAGTCGTGGTCCACATAGGAATCAACGACATAGGTAGGAAAAGGGATGGGGACGTAAGGCAGAAATTCAAGGAGCTAGGGTGGAAGCTTAGAGCTAGAACAAACAGAGTTGTTATCTCTGGTTTGTTACCCGTGCCACGTGCTAGCGAGGCGCGGAATAGGGAGAGAGAGCAGTTGAACACGTGGCTACAGGGATGGTGCAGGAGGGAGGGATTCAGATACCTGGATAATTGGGGCTCATTCTGGGGTAGGTGGGACCTCTACAAACGGGATGGTCTACACCTGAACCAGAGGGGTACCAATATCCTGGGGGGGACATTTGCTAATGCTCTTCGGGAGGGTTTAAACTAATTCAACAGGGGGGTGGGAACCTGAATTGTAGCTCCAGTGTACAGGAGGTTGAGAGTAGTGAGGTCATAAATAAGGTTTCAAGGTCGCAGGAGTGTACCGGCAGGCAGGAAGGTGGTTTGAAGTGTGACTACTTCAATGCCAGGAGCATCCGGAATAAGGTGGGTGAACTTGCAGCATGGGTTGGTACCTGGGACTTCGATGTTGTGGCCATTTCGGAGACATGGATAGAGCAGGGACAGGAATGGTTGTTGCAGGTTCCGGGGTTTAGATGTTTCAGTAAGATCAGGGAAGGTGGTAAAAGAGGGGGAGGTGTGGCATTGTTAGTCAAGGACAGTATTACGGTGGCAGAAAGGACGTTTGATGACAACTCGTCTACTGAGGTAGTATGGGCTGAGGTTAGTACCAGGAAAGGAGAGGTCACCCTGTTGGGAGTTTTCTATAGGCCTCCGAAAAGTTCCAGAGATGTAGAGGAAAAGATTGCAAAGATGATTCTGGATAGGAGCGAAAGTAACAGGGTAGTTGTTATGGGGGACTTTAAC